GACACGCCTCATAAAGTCCGCAAAGTCATTAAAAACTGGATAGTCATCAGTCTCTAGCTTCATTTGCAAGGCCTTCCTGCGCCACTGGGCTTTAATGAAGCTAGGGCAGCGCTGAATTATTTCCAGCATACCCTTCTGAGAGTCTATCTCTGATAGCATTCCCAGCCTCTTCAGAGCTACTCCGGCTGACACGACCTCGTCTGCCACCTGCTGGATTTCTGACGCCTTGGACAAGGTACGATCACTGGTCAGGCTTCTGATGATGCTTTGTGAGATGAGGTGGGGGTTGCCAAACCGCCGTGCGAGGATATCTCAGGCTTGCTTGTAGCCGGTGGCTCCTCCTATCAGTGCACAATTCCGAATAGCGTCTTTAGCAGGCCCCCCAGTGTACTGAAGCAGCCTCGTCAGTCTGGCTTGTCCATCGGAGCATTTATTATGCACTGCCTCGTCAAATATTGCCATAAATGTCTGATACTGCAGCGGATCCCCAGTGAACACCTCTATCTCTACTTTGGGAATGCGAATCAGGTTAAGCAGACTGCTTGTTATGTTCACCTCCTTCTTCTTCCTCAGATTGTGGTGGTGTTTGCTTCCTCAGCCAAGCGCGAGCAGATTTGACACCCGCAACATATCTTGACTGAATGTCATCAAGCCAGGATTGGCTTTCCTCCTGAGTCCCCTCCTCTTCTAACGTGTCGTGATACTCATAATGTGCAGCCTCCAGATCATCGAAAGCGACACTCAGCCTTTCTAGACGTGAGGTAACAGCGCTGATGCTTCCCTCATCCACGTTACGTGCTAGAGAGTTCAAGTGCCTGATGACTACACTCTTCCGCTGGCCGCGAAGCTTGACTGGGTCCGCCATGCTGTAGACGACTCCTGTACAATACTGTCTACAGTCTGCTCACTGTTGGTGTAGTTCATTCACTGTTGCGTATAGAATGAGAAAGAACGCTTCGGTTGCTGCTTGATCTTGACCCCCACCTGTCTCAGTGCTGTCTCAGTGCCGTCTCGGCCGTGCTGTGTTGCAGAGAGCAGCGATTTGCGACTGC